GAAAACAACAATATCTTATTTTTTATTTTATTTTATTTATATATTATATAATTTAAATTAAAATTTTTTATTTTTAATAAAAAAATAATTATTAAATTATTTATATAATTTACATTACTTAAAAGATTATTGGAATTAGGAATATTGAAATTTTTGGTGGATTAAATTAGGGGAAAATAAAGGAAACACAAATGTTGTTTTTTTTTTTCCTTTGCATTTCTACTTCCTAATGTAAAAGTGGATTGCACTTTCATTTTCTCAGTCATATACTGAAAATTTCTATTTTTATAAAGAAAAAATTAGGAAAAACGAAGTATGAACGTCTTGTCATACCGATCGTTTCAGGGATAATTTTGATTTTGATTTTTTATATATTTAATAATTAATAAGAATTTAAAATTTAAAATTTAAAATTAAATATTTTAAATTTAAATTTTAAAATACATAAAAAAATTATAAAAAAAGGGAGGCCATCTCATATTTTATCACTAATTGTCTAGTGCACAAACAAAAAGAAAAAAGAAAGTCTTGCTTTTTCTTTTTTTTTTACAACAAAATGTCTTGCCATTAATATCAACAAAAAATTATATTTAATTTTTTTTAAAAATAACCTCTTTTCTGTTTTTTCTTTTTCTTTTAAAATTTTTACTAACTATTTTTAACATTCTTTCATTCCTTATCAAACCAAACTTACGGTAAAGAAGTATGTTTATCTTAGTTGTTATACAAATTACTCCCTTTGAGTATACAAGGAAGACGTACTTTTTTAAAAAAAAATTGGATATGTGTCCCTGTCTCAGACTAGTTCCTTCTTAGAGTAATTTCAAGGTCATAATCTCACATTCGCATTTAAATCTTTTTAATATTAATTCTAAAAATTAAAATTAAAATTTTTTATATAAAATAAAATTTATTTACAAATAAATCTAAGCATTGGGTTGGGTACATATTTATTTTGAAAAACCAACGGATTTAATTAAACAAAAAAAATGTTGGAGTCACTAATTGAAACCATAAAATATATTATGATATATTGTAAATTTTAATTAAGTTCCATCTATTATGTGATAATAATTAAATATCTTGATATTAAAAAAATATCATAATTACTTGATTTTAGTTTAATAAAAATTAAATATCATGAATTTTTTATTTTATAATTTAAATTATTCGAATTTTTAACTAATTACAAAACACATAACCGAGTAATTAAATCAAATCAAAATCCTCTAAACATTGGTCCAAGTTATTGTGACACAACAAAATTTTGGGGCCACTCAAAAAGTAAAAAATTTCAATTGTAAGAACTATTTTACTCCTTCCAAATTTCCCTTAAAAAACATGTTCTATATTTGATCCCAATACTTTAATATTATTAATGATTTAAATAATTCAGTGATCATTTCCTTTTACTAAAAGTAATAAATTTTGAATTCGACTCACATAATATACAAATAAAGTAAAATAAATAATAAAAAATACCTACTTTTCATTATATAACCAAAATAAAAAATATATATATTTGACCCAATACCATATATTGGTATTAAGGAAATTTATGGAGTTAGCAATCAATTTTGGAGAATGTGCAAAGTTGAACTCATGAATAAAAAAGGAAGATGAAAAAGGAGTGTTTGGCCAAACATAAAAAAATATCTGAAAACATATGGGGTTCAGTTTGGTTCAGGAAAATGGATAGAAAATTCTTTTCGGCTTTTAAAAACTTCACTTTCTACCTGGCCTTAAAATTTATGGTGCGGCAATAACTAAAGAGCTGAAACCTGGTTGATAAAAAATTTTATTTTTTATTTTATTAATTAATATTTAAATTTTTAATAAAATTTATTAAAAAACAAATTTTCATAAAATTTTCAATTCATCAAAAAAAAAAAGAAAAAAAGTGGGGCCATAAGCATTGGGGCGGGGTTGGGATTGACAAGGCTGGGCCGAGAGGTACAATTAATATATGTCGGGTGTTGGCATATTCTTGCATTTAACTCAAAATTTTACAATTTTTGGTTTTTTTTATAATTTGTAGTATTTACTCGGTAATGAAAATTTATACTCAATACCTAACATAACCTATTGGGTGACAATATATCCGACAAGTTTAATTGAACAAATTAAATGCGTACATGCAGTTTGCAGTTGCATTACTTCGGTAAAATGGATAACCATATATGGTGGATAAGGGGGGAGGAAATGCATATGGTGGCAACCAATGGCCCTATATATCACGCACATGACAGTGTTTGCTGGTCGTGGTGGAAACATATGAGATGGGGTTTGAATGCGGTAGGAGATATATATTAGTACTAGGATTCTTGATTGTCCACACTTCGAGGTTTTTGGAGTATCTGCTGAAATCTAATGAGGCTATGTAGACTGAAAATGCTGCTGCCATTGCATGAGTTTGAATTGAAGTAATCCATCAACTTGAGTAGTGTGAGATTCTGATTGGATGTTTTAAATTCAAATTTTGAGTCGAGTTGAGAAAAATTTGAAAAAAATGAGAGAGTTATTATTTTTTATATAATTTATTATTAGATATACTAAAAAATAAATGATAAATTCTTAAATTAAGGATCTTTAAAATTGATTTTATTGAAACCGCTACAAAATATATGGACTAGCATTGCCACTTAACATTAATGTATGGTAGTAATTAGAATGGCTTCAACAATGAACAATTTGTCTGGCTAGCATCCAAATATTTAAGAGAAACATATGTTTCTAACTAAGCTCTGTCAACAAAATTCCAAAAAATTAATTGTTCCAACTTTCATTTCTTTCTATATTCACCACCAACTTCCAATTATGATTTACAAACCAAATTTATTCGGCAAAACTTTCACATGGGATTTGGCTTTTATTAAAGTACAGGCAAAAAAAGACCATGTACTGGCCTTGAGCTGACAAATTTAGAAACAATAATCTATCATGATTGTTATATTTGGATAATCTTTATGTTAACCCATAAACTCATTCCGTTTTCTCAATTCAATCCTCAAGCTTATATTTGATCCAAATAGGCCCATCTAATGTGTCATACAATATGGCCAGTAGATCCAAAGTGAACTAGAAAAGT